CCCCCATGGGTGCCCCACAGGTGGGTGTCTGCTCATTTTCTCTCACACAGCCGCTGTGTACATCCCCTCAAGTCCCGGCACACGGCCTTCGTGGGTGTCGCTTTATGTCTCCTCTCACAGCCCCTGTGGGTGTCCCCTCACACCCTCCATGGGTGTCCCACAGGTGAGTGTCCCTTCATGTCCCCTCACACAGCGCCTGTGGGTGCCCCTTCGTGTGTCCTCACACCTGTAGGTGCTATCGGCAGCGGGTGTCCCCTCATTTCCCCTCACACAGCCCCTCTGGGCATCCCCTCAAGCCCCCTCACACCCTCGATGTGTGTCCCTTGAAGTCCCCTCACACAGCTCCTGTGGGTGTCCCCTCAGGTCTTCTCCCACCCTCTGTGGGCACTCTCGCTGGGGGGTGTCGCTTCATGTCCCGTCACACAGCCCCTGTGGACGTCCCCTCAAGTCTCCTCATGTCCCCTCATACCCTCGGTGGGTGTCCCCTCAGAGCCTGCACCCAGAGGTGGGTGCCCCAGCCTGACGCGGTGCCGGGGCAGGAAAGTTCACCCCAGTCCCGTGTAATCCTTGCAGAGCCCTCGCAATCCTGGCGTCGGATAAAGAAAGTGTCTGCCCCTTTCCTGGAAACTGTGGAAACAGGTTAATAGGAAATAAGTTGGGGTTTGTTGTTTGGTTTTTTTTTTTAATGAAGCTGGCAGCTTACGTGTGTTAATTGCATTTCTTAAGGATAATTAGATATTCTAATTTCTGTCTTTTTGATCCTTTGCTGCTTATGAGAAGGAAAAATGTTCTTAATTTGTGTTTGCCCTAGTGAACGTGTTGGAGGTAAACTGTGTGCTCGTTCACGTGTTTCTGAAAGTTGGGGGATCTGACTCTCGCGTCGGGTGCTCGTGAGGTGCTTCCCCAGTTAGTTCGTGGCTGAATGCACCAACAGCGAGGAGTGCTGTGCTTCGTCAGTGCCGTGCTTCATCGGTGTGCGTGGAGCAGAAGTCAGCGTGACTGTCTTCAGGAGACTAAAAGGAGGAAGTTAAAACAGCCCGTGTTGGGCTGCTCCAGGTACCAGCCAGCGAGGAGGGATGTTCTTGATGACTCTGTTTAAAAATTTAATTCTGCTGGAAGGATATTTTCAGGTGAATTATCGCTGAGGAAAAGAAAGTCAGAAATGGATGCCCAGAGCTTGGGTTAAAATGTATTCTGCTAAGACGTTCTGCGTCAGAGAACGAGCGAACAAAGCAGACGGAGGGCTGTCAGTGGTGTGTTCAGAGCTAACCGCTCTGCAGTTGCAAACTCCTAAAGATTTGTGCTTACCAAGAGCTTTTATCCTGCAGTGAGACCAGAACGACTGATGTCTTGAGGTTATTACGTGTAGTATCTTTCAGGAAGAAATAAGCTCCTTTTCCTTCTCTTCGAGCTGCCCCAAGTCGCTCAGTCGTGGTTGCTTAATGCCGTGCCAGAGCTGATAAAAACCATCTTGGGCTAGTGTGCAAATCCAGACATGCTAACACTGTTACTGTGCTCTTTGAGTGAGAGCTGGTTTGTGTTCCACTGTCTCAGATCACGGACACGCTTGCTTCACATCCGCCCATTATATACCATGTGGACACAGCCAACATTGTTTTTGTTGTAAAACTGAAATGCTGAGCTGTGCCTGGTGGGAATTCTTTAAAAAGGGCAATTATGCCAAAGGAAACACAGGGAGCAGATTATTTTGCAGGGTTGTCCACTTCCACCAATTCCACTTTATTGTGAAAGATTCCCTTCAAATGGTTCTTTCTCTTTTTTCCACAAAGTTCACTGCAAAAAATATTAGGGGCACCTTAGGGCAGGAGGGGATCACACACGCCCGGGCACTGAACTGTCATCAGAGCGATTCTTTTGGGGTCTCGACAAGGACAACGTGGTTATTTAGGAGCATGCGTGAAAGAGTATGTGACCTTCAATGGAAAGTGCAGGAAGAGTTTTGGAAGTGAAAAGAATTCCCTGAATTGGATTATGCTTGTGCTGGAAAATATTGAAAACCACAAATGATGAGTGCTCTGCCTGACCCTTAATGACTGTAGTGACTGATTCAGCCGTTAAAGTGATGAGGAGGAGTAACTCTTGTGATTATCTGACACTCTTAAGTATGAGTGTTAATAATGTACAATTTGTGTTACATTATTACATGGAACTTTTAGGAGGCAGATGTGTAATAAAAAATATTCCTCTTTTTTTTTTTTTCTTGTTGTAGGATGGAAGAGAGACCAGTCTGAGAAACTGTTCCATCGTGGACTTTGCTGTTGTCTGCTAGAATGTTCCTTATGAATGCTTCTCCTTTGGTAGCTCTTCAGACAAAATGGGAGTCCTTTGGACCAGCAGGGAATTGTAGATATCCCCTGTGCTTCTCTGAATCTGAAGAGGACGTCACTAGAACTTCTGTCAGCGCAAAAGTTCAGATGATCATAAACAACCTGCAAAGTCAAGAGTCTCCCCTGGGTATGAACAATGAGTATGATTGTATTATGCAGAAGAAACAGAAGGGAGAAAAGGGCACTGGGAACCAAGTCACATCGAGCACCACGTTGCTACAGAAGCATCCTCAATGTACCAAGTGTGGATGCCCCGCTGATTCGGATGACACTGAAGTGGAAGAAAACGTGGGGTTCGGGACTCTCTTACTCGATTCTGATAGTGATGATTCTGTTGACCGAGGTATAGAGGAAGCCATTCAAGAGTACTTGAAAGCAAAAAGCAAAAGTGACCAGTCGTTGCAAAGGAACGCGGAGTGTTCTGAGAATGCAACCAGAGACAAAAGGTTTAAGAGGGAATTGTCCCAGGACAAAATGTCTAGTAACCTTCTCCCTGTGAAATTTAAGGCTGAGATGCTGTCTGAAGAGTATCTGTCTGACCGCTTGGGAATTGGGAAAAGGCGACAGCCTGCTTCCCCTCAGAGCATCAGCAGCGACGACTCTTTCGACCAGAGCATACAAGCTGAAATAGTGCAGTTCTTGAATGAGAAGAAGCAGCAAGAAATTACTAAGTGTGTGATTGGGGAGGATAAAAAAGATTCCCGTGTGAGATCTGTCCTAAAGTGCAACAAGGAAACGGCAAACAAAACAAACTGTGGTGCTGTAAAGCAAGACTGCAACACGCTTCTCTTGAGACACCATCCCAAGCTCCAGAAAACCAGCACTCAGTCCAAGTGTTTGCAGCCTAAAATCCAAGAAGAGCGTGGTGATTTCTGCCAGGTGAACCAAGCGTATCTAGAAATGGCCACTGCCAGCCAGCCCTGGTTAGTGGAGCAAAATGAAGAAAGTGGAGCTAATTACTGGGAGACAAGGAGAGCGCTTGTCAACGAGAGCGTGCACGCGTCTGATTCAAGTAGTGATGATGGCATTGAAGAAGCCATTCAGCTTTATCAGCTGGAGAAAATCAGGAGAGAGGCGAGTCGTGCAACTGACTGTGCCCCTTTGCAGAGGGAACAATTTGATACAAAGGGACTGGCGGACATTTCCGCAAGCCTGACAATTAGCTCAGCAAAAAGTGCCTCACCAGAAATCCGTAAAAGCCCTATAAGCATCAAGAGAAAAGAAATTAATTCAAAGTCAACAGACTTAGAAAGCACAAGCAATGAGTTTAACAAGCTGTTTAAACCACTGAAAAAAGCCAGGCATTTTGCACCTCCGGAAAACAAGATTGCTGCTTGTGAGCTCACGTTGCAGGCGTCTTGCAGAGCGGACACATCTGCAGAACTCATGTGTGCAGAAGCTATTCTTGATATTTCCAAAACCATCATGCCATCCCAAATGGGAAGTGACAACAAATCACTCGCTACAGACCCCTTCTTTTCTCCCCAGCTTCTTGCATCCTCGCGTTGTGAAAGCGACAGCAGCCTTGTGGACAGCGATGATAGCATAGAGCAAGAAATCAGGGCTTTTTTAGCTCTGAAAGCACAGTCGGAAAACCTTGCGGCGAAGCCTCCCAGCCTGTCACACTCAGTCCAGATGCCTTTGCCTTCTGATCAAAACAGCCTGACCGGTACCCTTGAGCCTTCTCTACCCAAAACACTGAAGCTATCGCTGAGTCGTAAAAGGAGGCTTAAAACAGAAAGCAGGATAGCAAAACAAGGTGCATCAAAAACACCTGAACAGCTGGAGACGGGACTTTTCCAGCCAGGTAACTGTTCCAGAGTTCCTGTGCTCCAAGAGGAGCGTGCCCTGAGCAGCACTGCAGAACTCGGTGATGCTCAGAGGCTCAGTAGTAAAGAGACCCAGCAGGAGCAGCTGATGTCTTCCAAATTATCTGGATCTGATGGCAGATGCATGGCCTTGGACTCTGTAAACCCTTTTATGCAGGTTCAGAGTAGCACGAGAAAGCTTGTGAAAAATACCAGCCAAACTCCAGAGAGGGATGGTTCAGGTGATGAGAGCAGTTCTCTGGATAGCGATGAGGACCTTGATAGTGCTATCAAGGACCTTTTACGGTCTAAAAGAAAATTAAAGAAGAAGTCCAAGGACCAGAAATCTCAGTGCAAGAAGAGAGTCAGATTTAGCGAGGCAGAAACTCAGCTGCTGGATGAGTTTAGTAGCTTCCAACAAAACGAGTGGAAATGTAAAAATCCTGTGCTACTGAAAAGCTGCCTCACAAAACCTAGGAAAGCCGTGAAAGATAACACAATCAGAAATCCTCCAGACGACATAAATGTCAAACTTAGCAGTGAAAAAGCAGAAACCATGAAAAACTTGGATTTTAACTTACAGTTTAAAAAAGGATGTAGACCTAAACCAGTCTCAAACCAGAATAATCTGCGGGCAGCTAAAAATAAAAGATGTACTTTCACGGCTGCGTCAGACGCTGATGACAGCAGTTCAGTGGACAGCGATGACAGCATCGAACAAGAAATTCGGAAGTTTTTGGCAGAAAAGGCTAAAGACACTGCAAGCAATTCGGAGATACAAAAGGATGACACAACTCTGGACCTATTGAGAGTGACCAAACAAACTGCTAATAAAGGAAAAGCCAAGCAACAGCCGGTTGAAAACGAGATTGACCTTGCACCGGGTCGGAGTAAAAAGACTGAGGTGCCTCAGCAAACTGAGGAGTTGAAGGACTCTCAGAGAACGGAAGAGAAAAGTGCAATGTTACAGGGCGGCGGGAAATCTGCTGCCTCTGCAGAGAATGTTGATCTTCATAATACTGGTCAGCCAAAAGCTAAGCAGGGAGTGGTGGGGGTTAAAAGTGTTGCTGGGGGGGAGTTATGTGGAAACCCAACAGGTAAAAAGGATGTCCCTAATGCAGAGCCTGTGCAGAAAACGCTTCCGCCTAAAACGAGTAAAAATGAAGGCTGCAAGGTACGGAAAGTAATGAGTGCGAAGTCTAGATCGAAAAGAAAGAACACCTTTCACCTAAAAATTTCGAGTAAATTTATTGCAGGTCTAAAATACGCCCGAGACAGGAAGAAATCCATGCTGTTGAACAAAAGGCAGAAAGCAGAGCTTTTACTAGCCCAGAGCAGTGCATTAGGAACAGAGGCAGCTTCCCAAGGAAGAGGAGCCCCCTTGCCCAGGGGTGAATTTAGTGGGGAGAGCGCGACAGCCCTAAAAGAATCCAGTTCTCAGAAGCTCACTGTGGAAGCGTCGAGTCCCCGTGTAGCAGAAACCTCTGAGAGACTGGAGGCTCCTCCTTTGCGTATCAAAGAGGAAGCAGAGGGTTGCAGAAAGGCAAATGCTTCAGGAGACCCCTCGGATTCCCGCCCGAGTCTCCCCTCGCAGGAGCGGAGCGCGGCATCGGTAAACGCAGATAAGATTTGCAGAGGGACATCCGAAGCTGAGAACACGCAGGTGTGGATCGAGGAAGGAGATATCCCCAAAGACAGCTGGGCCCATTCGAATTTAGATGCTCCCCGCCCTGACCGCAGTCTGGCAGTGGTAAAAGCAGATAAAGTGAGCAGGGATGCAGCTCAGCAGAGCGTACGTGGGTGCAGCGAGGGAGAGGATAACCAGCAGGACGGGAAGCCAGATTCGAGTTCAGGTTGCCCACTGCAGGAGCTAAATGTAACAGCAGCAACAGTGGGCAAAACTGATGGAGGAGCGAGCACAGGTAACAGCGTGCAGGTGTGCATCAAGAGGGAAAAAGTTACGTGCCAGGACAGTGACAGGCAGGAAGAAATTCAGGTATCCAGCTCCAGGTTGGAAGGAAAAATACCTGTCCTGCAGAATAGGGAAACTGCTTGCAAAGTGAACCAAGGGCAGGGAGTTTTAGACAAAACCTGTGCAAAATTTACTGACATACCTGCAGGGGATTGCCCAGATTTCCTCTTGAAAAGCAAGGTTTCAAATATGTAAGTATGCTTTGTTGTTGGTGTTTGTTTTTTTTACAGTAACAATCTTTTTAGAGAATAACCATCCTTGTAATTACCTTGATAAAACTTGAGACATGAAAGGAGAGACAGTGGGCGATGCTGGTATCTCTCTATCATACACACACTAATGTGAAGAGTGCTTCTATTCAACAGGGATATCGTAAAACATGCATAGTTTTTGTAGAATTTTGTAAATTATTTAAAGTGCTCTAAGGAGATATTTTTTATAATGATTTTTAGGGCTTGCATGACTACAGGATGCTGTGGTTACTGTAGATAAGATGATACTGCCTAATCACGCTTTAAATTATGAGGCCTCTGGTTGTCTGTCAGGAGGAAACCTGTTTGCACGCGGAATATATTTGGCAATCTGTTAAGAGATCCCGGGAAAACACAGCATTCGATAGCAGATTATCTGGCATCTGTTCACATTCGAGCTGCCTTAGGACAATCCTCTGTCGTGGTTTTACGCCAGGGTCTCGGTTCTCCCACTCTCGGGTGGGTTCGGTAGAACCCCAGCGAGGTCGGCACAGCTGGGCTTGTGGGGATCGGCCCTCGAAGGTACAAATGCAAATCGGGGGGAGAATAAAGTGGGTCAGTCTGTCTGCGCGTCGTTGTGTAAAGCGATCTCGGCAACTGCTGTAAGGACCTCCGGAGTACCCGAAACCTCCCACTGGCAGAGGATTCCAAGCACAACTGCGGTTCGAGAAAAGCGAAGGAGCGTGTCTCTTCAGACAAACCTGATTGTTGTGGGTTTTGCTACATTTCCGTACTGTTGGGCCTGCACGGCTGGAACGATTCCTCGTTGCTCTCAAGTCTCACTTTGAATCCCTGCAGTTGCCCAGAGATGGCTTCTGGAATGAACTTTCTTGAATTGAGTGCCCTTAACTTTCCTTTTTTTTTCAAAAGTGGTTTCTAAAACGTTACATTTCTGTGAACTTTTATTTTCATTTCCGAATTTTGTGCAATAGAAGCAAATCTAGGTTTGCTGTAGGAAGTCCCTAATACAAACGCCAAGGATATTTTCAGCACTGTCCTTTCATACCGGTAGCGCTTTCTCTGCCTCCATTTCCAGCAGCCAGAATAAAGCAATTTTTCACTACTATCTTCTTACTTGTACTAACTTAAAATGAGATTTCAGTAGCACGTTCATACTGAAAAAAAAAATAATAACCCCATGCTGGTTTCACTGAAAATCCAAAAAAGTGTGAATTTACACTCTTGGCCGGTTCTTTCCTCTTGCTCTGTATGTACCGCAGTCCTTCGATTAGTTTGTTCTGACGCCTTGTCCCTGTGATTTGATCCAGTGTTCTCTTTATCTGGTCTCCTACAGATCTTCTCTCAGTATCTCTGATTCTCAGCAGTCTCCTGGAGGCTGGCCTTAACGTTGCAAAAAGGAGCGAAAGCTGTCGAGAAAGGACCTAGTATTGCGTAGTATCCCCCGGTGTGATCGCCTTTGCAGAATATTGGCAAACTCTGGCGTAGCGTAGAGTAGAACGAGTAACTGTGGCGTGTAGAGAAATAAGCGACATCCTCTGTGTGTTTGTACTGTTGTGCAGTTACATTTTGAACATGTTTATAGCGGTCACTTGACATTTCATACTGTCCGGTCACCTTTTTGTAGTCCTTGGGTTGGTTGGTTGGTTGGTCTAAAAGATCGCTGTGTGCTAGATCATCTCATTTTTGTGGTAGGATACCTTGAAGACGTGTTTGTTTGGGTTTTTTTGACTTGGCTCACGTGCCTGCAGTCATCTACGCAGGCGTGTGTTTTTGTCTGCCTTGGTTCAGTTGCAGGATATGGGCGTTTTGTTTGGGATAAGTAAATAGGCTGGTATTTTAAAATAGAAGTTTTCAGAGTACCTTGCTTTAAAAGGATTAAGCTGTATACTTAATTTTAATAGAGATGATGGAAGCACTGTGTACTGTTTGTATAAAACAAGCTGAATGTTTCTCCTCGGAAGTTTTCAGTAAATCCACATTAAGACTTAAAAGGTGTCTTGTGCCCCCGTCGATGTGTCTGTGTGCTCAATCCTACTCGTGAACCGATTCAGTTACGATGCAATTCCAATTACCTTGTGCTTTAAATAAAACCTAATTTCAAGCAGCACTTTTTAAAAATTGATAAACTTGATTTGTATATAGGAAATGGTGTACATTGCGAAGTTTATAATGTTTAATAAATGGGGTTCCAACCACGGACCGTGAAACCAGAGTGCTCCTATGATTTATGTCATCGTCCAGTGAGTAGTGTTTTTGTGGTGTCTTTTTTTTCCCCTCTTGACTGTAGTCCAAAGACTACGTGTAGTCCAAAGACAGCTTTTAGCTGACCCTGGGAACAGGATCTCCGTTCATCTGCTGCTCTTGTCGTGCCTCCCGTTGTCTTCAGCCTGGGCCTGTCCTCTCCCGTGTGATTTCCTTGTGACCCTCTGGCTGTTTAAAGGAACGTCGTTCTTAGTAAAACAGCGAAGGAGAATCTACAAAGCATATGGGCAAAAAAGTGGTGGCTCTCCCAGGAGCGTGAGAAGGATGCTTGTCATTTTAGCAAAACCCTTTAAAAACAGTTTCCTTTCCTGGCCTTTGAGGGGATTTCCTTGTGCTTACCCCTGTCCGTTAGCGGCAGGAGGTTTTGAGGCAGGGTTTAGTTCAGCTGCAGAGCGTGTGGTGTATCTCGAGATGGATTAGCTCTTAATCCTTTCTGCGCCGCTATCGAAGGCTGGTGGTGGTGAGTCTGGGAGCCCTTGACAGCGTGGAGATGGGATGAACAAGATCTCTTGCTTGTGGGGGACATTTTGAGATCCAGCACTGGGGTTCTGGAAGGCCAGAGAGCCAGTCTTCAGGGTACAAAACTGCTGTTTTGATCCTCAAACCCTCCTGTCACTCCTGGTGGTTCTGTACCGACACATTACGGGTGTTCCTCTCTACCTCCAAGTCCTCTCAGTCATCTTTGGTCTCAGCAAATGATTTTTCCAGAGTTTGCTCCGTGAGAATTGCTGACCTGCCAAGGGGGAGCAAGCACCCACGGGGGACGTAACTAACTAGTGTGTCAGTGAACAGCTCTGGAATTGGTGCTGCAGCCCTGAGATATATTTTATTACGGTTACTCGTAAGTTCCAGCATCCTGACTGCGAAACCGGGCAAATGTCTGCTCGCTCAGGACTTTGAAAATAGGTATAGTGTTTTATTTTTATCGCAGCGACTGTTTTTCTGTGCTTCAGGGATTCTAAGGGGACCACAGGGGCTACCTTAATTTTTTATACACGGTTCTTTTCCGCTATTTTGGGAACATGTGTGTTTTTTGATGTGCAGCTGCTTTTTATACAAGGCAGGAACACACCATCTCTGCTGCCATTTCTTTTATTAATGTATGTGGGTTTTAATTTTTCACGCCTTTAAGAACTACAGCTTGTCTTGGCTTGACAGTACAGCCTCACCTAATTTTAGCTGCAAACGTGCAAATCTTGCTTTCAAACTACAGCATAGAAAGAGACTGTTTTGGGTAGATTCTCTGCAGTAAAATGTTCCATCTTTAGGATGATATTTTGAGTTTGTACAGTATCTCAGGATAGAGTCTATATGAGGGTGACATAAGGTACACTGCATGCAAAACTGGTCGGAGGAACTGGTTTCAGTTCAAGAAAAAAGGAAGAAATTAAGGCAAAGAAGAAAGGAAGTGGGTGGTTTGGTAGATGAAGTATGAAAACAGGTGGAAAATACGTGACAAAAGCCACTAATTTTATATTTTCAAGAGGTGGTCTTTTATCCCTAAATTATTCCACCTGCAGAAAAATCTGTGGATAGAAATATATGTAAAATTGTCACAACTGTTTATATTAATTCAGCACTTCATGTTATTTTTCATTTCAGGAGAAGAAAGGGAAGTTATGAGAAGCTCAAGGTATTGTCTAGAGTGTAGCAGAAGAGTAAGAGCGAATAATAGAGGGTTGGTTATTTACTTTCATACGTTACATGTTTAAAAAGTTACATTTTCGGGCCCATTTCTGCTTAGTATGCTTACTTCCTCCCATGTTTTAGGGAGAGGTGAGTTTAGCCGGTTATTCTTCTGTGCAAGATAACCCAATGAGTTGCAGTAACAACTGATTGCTTGGTCGGCGTGACTGAAACCTTGCTGGCAAGTCCAGGAACATGGGATTTGAATGTTTAAAAAAAAAAAAAAGCACAAGTACAAGTTTTGGGCTTCAGATTTTTGCATAGTTGGCATTATTAACTAAACAGAAAACCTCTACCTTGCAAGTAGGTTTAAATATCTCATCATGCTTCCTGCACGGTTCATATGAAAACGATGCAGAGTATTTCTAACTTGAAGAACATCACTTGCAGTGGGACTTCTACATTTATTTCTTAATTTAGATATTTTAGCGAACAGCTAGAATAGTATTAATGCTTTTTAACGCATACTATCGGTGTGTTATACTAAGGTTGAGGCATTTCTCATTCATCAACAGGCAGACTAGTTTCTCTTCAAGACTGGTTTTCAAACAAAACGAGCTAAGGTGTTCCCTCTAGGGCCATCACTGTCTAAAGGATGCACTTGGCTCTGTAACTACACTTGTTACAATAAAACTTAATAGAGCGTTTTCACTTGGATTAGTTGTCTTTTATTTGAATTATTTCTTCAAATGTTGTAGTTTTAAGAGGCGAGAAGGGTGAACACGTGCTCTCTACAAGAAATCCAAAGGCTTAACGAATAGCCCCGGAAAACCCACAGTTGGATTATTCATTAAATAGTACAGAAACACTTTAAAAATCTTAATTTTGAATGCTTTGTGGTACACGAGCTAAGGATCATTGGTGAGAGAAAAGGTTAAGAGAATATGTATTATGTAATGTATATTGTTCTAGTAACTCTGTGGTGCCTATAAATGAAGCAAAACGCTTCAGAAGAGCTGTTTAATTGACTTTTAATCACATTAAGTGTTTGTAAGTTAAGGTATTACTCCTAATAACATTCATTCTGTAAAATATTTTCATCTAGTACCAAAGTGACTGTACGTGTTTTCCCAACAAATTACCAAAGTCAATTTTGATAACACAGATTTAAACTGCTCTTCTCACAAAGCTAAGCTTAACTAGGCAGGAGTCCTGTTACAAAAACCATGTGTACCAGAGTTTGGAGTTATTTTTAGAACTGCACTGCTACCTTTAACCTGCTAATTTTGTAGCTATTCCCCACCTTGTAATAGCAAGTCTCACATTACCACACTGAAAGATTATTTTTAAATTTTTTTTCCCATGTTCTGGAGAAAAATCCTCATTAAATCCTGACTTAGGTGTTTAATGGTGTGAGGCGGGCGTGTTAATCTGCTGATCCGTGTGCCGCGTGAATTATTTTTCTGTCAATCTATCCGGTTTGGGGTGGGTTTTTTGTTTTGTTTTTATCTAGGCAGCCAACAGTAAAGCTGAAGCGGCTCCGTACTGTGGTTGCTTCGGATCTAACAGTACGAGGGCCTGCGTGGGTTGTAGCTGGGGTGGAAGTCGAGGCGGTTGTAGGTGGTGATGAAGTTGTCCGGGCCGGTGACGTAGCTCTTCTCCAGGGAGGTGTTGAGCCCGTTATATCTGTACGGGCCCCCCTGCGCCTGAGTCTTCGAAAACGCGTGCGAGGTGACGTGGAAGGACGTCTGCGAGGGTGAGATGATGGGAGAGGGGTGCTTGGGACCTAGTCCCTTCATCCTCGAG